GCTCTTTGCAGGGGTAGCAAACTTGAACAAAAATTAGACAAAGCTGGGCACTTTCTCCTAAGTCAGGTTGGAAGAGCCAGGAATTTTTTCAGCTTTGTGTTCCAGACTCTGGAGTGAAAATTTTGGTGTGGGTGAAAGTCAAATACGTTTAGTGTATATTTAGAATTTCAAGCAGTAGCAATTCTAGGATTGTGGTATTTACTGACAGACCAGAATATGCTGGCTACATTTTTTTCTATGTGGGAGCAGCAAACTGCTACTAGAAAACTTTTAAAGTTTATTGTTTATCCTGTGTTCTTGCCATTACCTATGTATACCACAGTCCTCAGTAATTTACATGCTGAAGATTACTTACAGGCTGTTTCCAGTCTCTACATGCAAGGAGGCTTATCAATCACAACGTACTTGTTCCATAGGTAAATTACTAATTTCTGGAGAACCCCACAGCAGTACAGCTGAAATTGAAAACAGTTGAGAAATTAGCAGCTGCCATTGCTGAAACCATTCTGATGGCTCAATGAACCCATGGGTGAAGATCAGAAACATAACATTTTATCATAATATGAGTCCTGAGCACAGCATTTGGTTAGCTCAGTTGGTTTGGCAGCTGGTTTGCGATGCCAGCAGTGTGGATTTGATTCCCGCACCAGTTGAGGTCACTATAAAGGACGCTCCTTCTCAACCTCTCCCCTTCCCTGTGGTGTGCAAACCCTCAGGTTAAACCACCACCAATTGCTCTAATGAGAGGGCAGTGCTATGGTCTGGTAAGACAATGACAACAATACCTTTATCTTTATTCCTGAGCGGTGGTATCAAATACAATTGGGGCTTTAATGTTGACTGTGATACAGTAGGACATGGAGGCCTACTAGAAGGAGGACATGAAATGCTTCTAGGCGGACCTTTTAGAGATAGTACACCTTATGCAAATATATATGTCACAAACTTTGTATCAGACATATATTGGATGTTGTTACTATGGTAGCAATACTACCTTTTCCTTGACACGCCCCATCGACCAAAACAACCTGCAAAACACCACATTTCGTACAAGGACACACATTCATATATACTTACACTTCTGTTTGAAAGGAGAGTAGCTGCAGTCCTTGTTTAGCTATGACACCTTTCAAATATGTTTGTGAAATTAAGAATGGAGGTGACACACAGGTTTACTTGTGATGACCTCTTCTTCACAAAACTTAGTTTATTAAATTGTCATGATCAAAGACATTATCTTGGTTGCTTGTGTCCAAAAGTTGTAATCTACATTATTGGCCTGCACAATATGCGGAGTAATTTGATGGCAGATTTGTGTCATCTCTGAATCTATGGCTGATTGATTATTGCAAATGCCCCTTGAGGAGCATCACTGCCCACAATAGCACCCCTCTTCTGCAGCGAAAACAAATCAAGCTTACTCTGCCTGCTGTGCGTGTTATCAACCATTTTTCTTTCCGATAGTGCAGTTGAAATTAGGTAGAGGATGGAATGCTCCTTGCAGTGAGTTCCAGGCTCTGTCTGAAGTCAAGATTTCACCCTCCCCCATCAACCTTCATGTACCTTTTTGTTTCAACCCTATCAGCTTTGAGTCGCCCCACATTCCAAGTCAACCCTTCTATTTAATAGAGTCATAAAGTTTTTATAGCATGGAAAGAACCTCTTCAGCCCATTGTATTTATGCCAGTCATCAAGCATCTATCTATTCTAATCCCATTTTCCAGCTGTTGGCTTATAGTTTTGTTTGCTGCAGCATTTCAAGTACTCATCTGAACACTTAAGGTTTGAGGGTTCTGAAGGAACTTGAGGGTTCCTGCTTCTAACACATTTTTAGATGGTGAATTCCAGATACCCAGCAGCCTCTAGGAGATTTTTTTCCCCCTTACATTCCCTCTAAACCTTTTGTTTCTTACCTTATAACTATGCCCCCCAGTTATTGACCCTTCTAAACTTTGTAAAACTCAACTCGATTCCCCAACCCCTACTCAGCCTTCTCTGCTGTAAGGTAAACAATCCCAGCCTATCCAGTCTGTCTTCATATCGGAATTGCTTCAGTACAGGCAAATTCTTAGTGAACCTCCTAACTATCAATGTCATATTTTCCCCCTTACTCCCTGGTCTACTACATAGCCAATGTCACAACCCAGAGTCCTCCCCAATGAAGCCAAGTTGGCAGTGATATGTGAAAGCCTCCATCCTACAGTATACTGTGTCTTCCCCTGATATGAGATCCAATTCTTGTGTTTGGAATAACTCTCTTTCATATTCATGATTACTTCTACATCCCAGCACAAATTGACTAGTAAGTCTGACAGAATGAGCCAACCCTATGACTGATGACTCTACAACTCCTCAAATACACTACTTGTAATCCTTGGACTGGTCAGACTTGGCCTGCTGGACTGATTGTGGCTCAATCCGTAGACTGGAGGGACACAGATCCTGGGCTGTGCATGTGCCTAAACCAAATGGCCAATGTTTCTGTCATGTAAGTTTTTGACACACGCTGCCACTGACATTGAAGTAGCATGTTGCCGTACAATAATATGTCCACCCCTTAACTGTTCAGTGCTGGCAGACATGACACGTTGCCTGCCTTTCTGCCAGCACTAAAAAACACAGTAACACAGATGCTATGAATCTCCAAGTAAGCACAAAGTGAATGAATGCTAAGAAAGCAAGCTAAGAGCTCTCAGATATATCCTGTGCAGATGAATAAGATGGGTATATGTGCCTGCATGCAAAGTGAGCTGACAGGAGCATTGCAACGTAAGGTGGCAGTGAGCTCCAAAATGCAGTATTGAAGAGCTGAAGTGTCATCTGGGGTGGTCTGAGGTCACTTATAATGATGTGGTGAGGCTGGTGTTTTGCTGATGTCAATTTCTGTGGACAGAGGGTGCAGGCGGTTGCTCTCCATGGAGTGTGCTTTGAGATGATAGTCAACATGGAGACATGAAGAATGACGTGCAGCTGCCAGATAACAACTCAAACGTTTAAGTTGGGAATTGGCACAATCTAGTTTCTCACCAGTACCTGGCTGAATTTTGAAATAAGGCACTATTACCTAACAATGGGATGCTAGTGCATGCAAATTGGGCCTTCGCTGCTTGCTAGCAAGGTTCTTGTCTTGCCATTTAAACCATAAATGGAAAATAAGATACCTTTTTCTCAACATCAAGAATCTAAACTGCCCATTCTTGTTGCACTCGCAGGAGTTTCTTGCCATTGCCAACGCTTAGTCAAGTGCTGGGAAGATTCCACTCTTTATTTATATCTCTCTTACTCTCCAAAAGTCAAGTTCTTTAACTTTTGGCTGAAAATTAGCTAATTCTGATGAGGAGTGAATGAATTATTTGCTTTATTGTCACATGTACTCAAGTTCATGTTTCCCTTCTTTTAAATCCAATAATTTAAGGATCTCATCTTTATGAGATCCTGCATTTGATTCTACCTTCAATTTACCTATTAACTCTCTTAGTTTAGATTTAATTAAAGATTTCAAATAATCCATTGTTGTATTTTCTACTCATAACAATTTTCTACAGACAGTCAGTCATTTTGACAATGTAATCCATGCATAAACTTCATTTTAACAGTCCTGTTTTCTGTCCAGAACCTGTTGCACCCTTTTCTTTAAAAGAGACACAAATCCCACTTAAATTCAGTTCGTTTCTGAACCTGCAAGAACCCCTACTTTATGATTCCAACTGATGATAATACTGAACAACCCAGCGTCCTGAATGAAACTTGAATTGATAGATCATGTGGTTAATTTTTGCTATTAGTTGCTGTGGTTATTTGTTACTAGATCAGACTCGCATGAGGCTACAAATGTTGTTAAGCAAAAGAAAATGATTTGATTGCACCATGATCCTACCTCAGCCACATTTAAGTTTGTAGCAGGAAATCTCATTGACAGATTTCCCACCCCACAGTCAACTGAAGCCTGCAAGTGGGCTTTTAGCACTCACTAAAAGGCCTCACCCCACCGCCATTGGTATTCACCTAGCAGCAAGTGGTGTTGCCAAGTTGAAGCCTGTAAAACAAACCCTGTCAGGGTTGCTTGCAAGTTTCCAAATGAGATCCTCTTTCAAAGATATTTAGGAGGAAGTGGTAATGTCACTGGACTAGAAATGCAGAGCCCCAGGCATTTGTTCTGGGAACATGATTTTGATTCTCACCATTACAGATGGTGAATCTTGAATTCAATGAATGGTTAAACTAAAGGTAACCTGATAAACATTGTCAATTGTTGTAAAAATCCATTTGTTCACAAATGCCTTTTAAGGGAAGAAAATTTGCTAGTCCTACCCGACCTAGGTGTGACTCCAGACCCACAGCAATATGGTTGCCTCTTAACTATCCTCTGGGCAATTCAGAATGAGCACCAAATGCTGACCTAGCCAGCAACACCCACATCCCATGAACAAATATTTTAAAATGCCTGATCAAGGGAGCCAGCATTGGAAAAGGGAAGCCCATGGAGAGCCACTCCCTGCCCTTGCTGCCAATCCTCCTGCAGAATGCCCCTCCTGCGATCACTCACCTGTGGCCTGGGTTCCTCACTGATCTTGGGCCTTGTATGGGTGCCATACTGGCAGCAACAACTGCAACTTCTGATTTGTGGACAGCTCGCAGTGGGAAGAACTTTCACCCCGGACAACTAACTGATGCCCAGTTATGTGCATGATGTGCGTTACTACTTTGGGCCTTCCCAAGAGAGACACTTTGGGATTCTCACCAGCTCCTCAGCAACTGGATGAGAGCCCTGTCAACGGCATTGAATACAACACATCATATCTGTAAAATAGACAAAATAGGCAAACAAAATCTCTTCTTGTAACTAGATTGCACCATTACTAGCAGGTCAAATATTGGAGATTGATTGGTGGTTATCTTACCACTGGCTCTTAGCATTGAAAAATATTACCCTTCATTAACTAAATTATGTTGAGGTATTGGCTTCTACTGCTGTGTGAAACTATTTCTTTTTTCTCTAGGTGTATTATAGCAGATCTTCAGCAATTGTCTTCATTGAGTACAACGTGTTGCGAAGATTTCATGATTTTATTCATAGTTCTGACACACCGATCAACTTACAACCTGTGTTAGAGCGTCTCTGTTCCCTGTATGGTCTGTGGACTCTTAATAAACATGCAGCAGTGTTGTACCAAGGTGAGTACTGTCTGAAGTTCCATAATTTGCCTTAGTCCACATTCTGTATGGAATTTGGTTTTGTATAACTGTTATGCTATAAAATGTTGTCTGGTTGTGGGGTGCACTTTTGTCCAATCTATTGTCATACTCAGGAAGGACCATCATTTTTACAGTTGGACATTTTTAGTCAATTTATTTGAATTTCAGTCTCTTCTTCCTGTGCATCCATGTCTCACTTCTTAACCAATGTATCCAAGCTTCCCAAATAAGATTTGATGAAAAAGAAATTGGAATGAAGAAGGCAAATCTTGTTGTACAATGGCAGACTGATTGCTGAGCGTGAAGTATTCAGTCATATAATCCATTCATTGACAAATTCCTTAGCTACCTCTCCGGATCAGGCCAGTCTATGAGCACGCAGCAGAACTGAAGATTAAACATAGGTCCTCATCCACCACCCTAACAATGGACTGGTCTTCCTTCACTGGACATGAGTTGGGAATCCCATCATTAAACTTCAATTTGGAACTCCCATTGACTAAAAATTTCAGAGCTCTTTCATCAAGCTGTCTGATCCCACCCATTCTGATCATGAATTTTAGAGACATGTTCCTTTACCAACAGAGAATGAATTCATATCCCCTCCAAATAAACATGTTAGCATAAATTGTGAATGACCAGTTTGCTTAGTAAGCTTGATTACAAAGCAATCTTCTGTTTGAAGCAAAATGCAGATGTTAAATGTTTTTGAAACTTTAAACACTTTTCCTTAAATTTCATGGGCTAATCTACTGTATACCGTTGAGTCACAGAAAATGGCTAATCTAAGGTGGCTGCCCCCGATCAGACTTGAATGATCTTAGCACCCACCCTTAAATGCAAACCTGTTTGATCTTAAGGAAAAGTTCATGCTCGAAACAGAGTGCAACCAGCAAGTGGATGTTTTGCCTGAAAAAGCTTCCCCAGCATTGAGTTAAAAGAGAAAAATCGGGTCACCTATATTTATGCCATTGCTTAGCTTCTGCCTAGAGAGCAATTTTGTATTGTTAATTGCTTCCTGTTATTTTGTACTAACATTCATTTAGCAGAGGCTAGTACACAACCTGTCATAATTTCACAGTTTTCCATTTTGAATAATACATTGGCATTGATGTAATTTTTTACTGTGCTCCCACCGGGAAGTCTTGCATTTGGGAGATCATTTCAGAAAGTCAAATATGCTACCTATAATTTATTTAAACAATGTTTATTTGGATAGTGCATGACTGAATTCTGATATGCATTGCCAGTGGGAAGGCTGCCCTGTAGAAGTAGAATCCCAGAATGTGTCACTGGGTAAGCCAGAATTTATTGCCCATCGCTAATTGCCCAGAGGACAGTTAAAAGTAAAGCACAATGCTACAGGATTGGAGTCACATATAGGCCACACCAGCTAAGGATGCTAGGTTTCCTTCTCTGAATAGCAGTGGTGAACCAGGTGGGTTTTTACGACAATTAGGCGTTGCCATTAGGCTAGCTTTTTATCCAGTTTTTTTATTGAATTCAAATTTTACTGTCTGCTATGGTGGGATTCAAACACACGTGCCCAGGTATTAGTCTGGGGTTCTAGATTACTGGTCAGGTGACATTACTATATGCCTCTCTATTATGCCACTAGATTATCAAAGGACCTTCGTAATTTCCAAACTACTGATCGTTAAGCTCACTGCAGGGTTTATAGTACTAAGCTTGCAGATGACACAAAGATAAGTGGAGAGACAGCTAGTGTTGAGGAAGGGGGGAAACTAAGAAGGACTTGAACAGGCTATGAGAGTAGGCAAAGAAGTAGAGGATGGAATACAATGCGGAAAAATGTGAAGTAATGCACTTTGGTAGGAAGAATAGAGGGGTAGCCTATTTCTAAACTAGGAAAGGCTTCAAAAATCAAGGACAAAGAGACTTAGAAGTCTTAGTTCAGGAACTTCTTAAAGTTAATATGCAGGTTCAGTTGGCAGTTAGAAAGGTGAACACAATGTTAACATTCATTTCAAAAGAAGTAGAATACAAGACCAGAGGTGTCCTGCTGAAGCTGCTTAAGGCTCTGGTCAGACCACATTTGGAATACTGTGAGCAATTTTGAGCTATGTATCTGAGGAAGTGGCCTTGTAGGGGGCTCAGAGGAGGTTCAGAAGAATGATCCCAGGAATGAAGGGCTTGTCATATGAGGAGCAGAGGGGGGCTTTGGGTCTCAACTCAATTGAGCATAGTTTAGGAGCACGAGGGGATGATCTGATTGAAAGCTTCAGAGTGAAGGGATGAGATGAGGAGGAATTTCTTCAGCCAGAGGGTGGTGAATCTGTGGAACTCATTGCCACAGAAGACTGTGGGCCAAGTCATTTAGTGTATTTAAGACAGAGATAGGTTCTTGATGAGTAAGAGGATCATGGGTTATGGAGTGAACGGAGTTGAGATACGTGTCAGCCATGATCTAATAGCAGAGTAGATCCAATGGGCGAAATGACCTAATTCTGCTCCTGTATCTTATGACCTTGTGTTTATTTACAGGGGGGTATTTCACCGGTGACCAACCTGGAAGAAGATTGCAAAATGCCATTCTAAATCTCTGTGCACAGGTTAAGTCAAATAATGTTAATTTGACTACTATTTAGAATTAGTTTATATATACAATCTGGATAAAGTTTAATGAACATATAACCATCTGAAAAGTTTTAAGATTTCTGCTCCTGTGTTATCTAAAATATAAAAATATTTCAGCGAAATTGTGCAGTGATTTAGATAACATTCCTCATCCAGAAATTTGGACAGAAAGAAAGTTTTTCTGTTTGCTGACTATTAGGCCTCCATGTGAAATATATCTGCACAAATTAAACTCAGTTCCCAGTAGATATTGGCCGACAGCACATAACAGCCCCAAACCTGGCACTGATCTCACTAGGCGAGACCACCAGATGGTAAAATGTCATGTTAAAATACTGAGGTCTTCCAAAGTTGAAACTACAGCATTTTTTGGAGCAAATATGTGGGAATTATATTCTGTACCTTAACTGTGGAACAGCTGACCTACCATTGCTAAGTACTCAATGGAAAGCCATTTCCCTGCACTAGAATATCTCAATTTAAACTCCAAAAGGACAACAATGAATATTTTTTCTGGTTTTATGTTATTATGAAATTTTAAGTAACTATCATAATAGTCCAAATCAAAACAGTTAATATTAACCATGCTATTTAAGCCCAAACTTTACTGGTCACAATGCTCATTAAATATATATAATGTAGAATTCATCTTAAAAATAATGTGACAGTGCAAGACCAATACACAATTTTATTTCCTATCCAGTTTAAAAATAAGGTCCAGCATGATTGTTTCACAGAAAACATAACGTTTGAAACATGACTAACAACAATGATATTTATTTGTATTAAAATAGCTGAAGGATGATGCAGTGGCTCTAGTGGATGTCCTTGCTCCTCCTGACTTTATTTTGAATTCACCAATTGGGAAAGCTGATGGAGAGGTAAAGCAAAACTTTTTTTCCCCCTTCATGCAATAGCATGTGCCTTTTACATCTTATACTTCTGAGCATAAAATGTAAAGAAAGATGTCAGGAAAGATTAATGACATAACAAGGTGCTCACCAATGTGTTGATCGCTAAGGAATTTCAAATTTATGAGCAACATTGCTAGCAACTCCATTAGGAATTTCATAGTTTGTCAAATAAATGGAAAATGAGCGATGTAATAGAATATTCCAGACGATGATCTTAACAGTACTGTAGTTCAAAAACTTTAACATAGAATATCAGCGGACATTTGATATTTAACTTATGCAAAAATATTTCCATTAGCTATTATTCTACGGTTACAACTATTTATTCTGCATTTATAATAAAAGTTGTATTTTTAAAATGGAGACAGTTGGTCAATGAAAGGAATATTTCAGTCTAGGCCTTGACAATACCCTTGAGCTTTCATATTAATACAACAGTTTTTTTTAACTTTTTTGCAGATTTTCTTTTGAAAAAGTACATTGTTCTCCTTTTCTCGTTTCTGTTATTTGCATGTTGCCCACAGTGCTATCCGTGGGTCATAAGAGTAAATGCATGACTTGATAGATGACTGGGACTGAACTGTAATACCCAAATTGCATTCATCCACGATTCAGAGACACTGTTTTCAACTGAGTGTCATGGATAACTAGCCATCTGCCTTTGCTAATGTGGGGCATGCTGGAAAAACATACAGAGATATTAAGTAACCCATCTCCTGCCTCAGTCTGGCTTTGTCAGGATGGATTGGTAGTGAGGTTGGAAACTCCCATGAATCAAAGGTGCAGCCTACCAAGGGAAATTTTAAAAAAAGTCAGTTTCCAGGTACAATGGCTCTTTTCCAATTGCGTACAGGTCAATTTGTTGGGGACCAGACCAGGTAAGAAAGATGACTGTGCACTGCAGCAAGTTATTAACATGCAACACACCACCATCATTGCAGCAAAGTATAAAGGGAAGACAGCAATAAGTGGACCAGTAATAGTGTGAGGCAAACACTGGCAGGAGCAACTCCTATTTTGGAAATTTTACCAGGAGATTAAGTTGGTGTCATTGCCCTGAGGTCATTTGGAAAGATAAAGAATGTCATGGTAATAAAATATGGTCCATCAATTTTCAACTTCCATCATTTGCTTTTAATACCTGAGACATTTGTGGACTAAAACACTTTTAAAAAGAAGGACAAAAATAAGGACCTAAAATGGCTTATGACCGTGGAAAAGTAACTGATGAAGCAATTGAAGATAGTTGGGCTGAAGTAGTAACACTAAGGAATTCTGGCATTGAACAGGGCTGAGATGATTAACTTGCAACAATCACAACTGTTTTTTTAGCTAGATATGACTCTGCCTGTGGATAGTTTTGCCCTAATCATTAGTAGCTTTAGTTTGGTGCCGCATTCTGTTTACAACGCTGTAGATGGGATGTTCTTTAGGTCTGCACCCTTTCCTATGTTCAGTGCATGCAACTATTTCTAGATCTCATGTGGAGTGAATCAATTTGTTCAAAGACTGGATTCTTTCACGGTGGGGCCCTCATGACAGGGAGGTTATCCACTTGACACTTCTGTCAGAAAGTTGTTTTTAATGTAAAAGGCTTGATTTTTGTACATGCATTCTGGATTATTTTATAATTGAATAAGATGTTTATGGAGCTGCCTCCTGCCTTTAGTTGTTTAATTGTGAACCACCATTCACGAGTGCATTAGCAGGGTTGCAAAGTTCTATCTACTGAAGTGTTGTTGAACAATCCTCTCCAATTACACTTTGTCGCAATGATGGTGGCATGATGCATGTTAATACTTTCCTGCGGTGCACACTCATCTTTCTTACCTTGTGTCATCTCCAACAAAGTGACCTGTGTGCAATTGGAAAAGAGCCATTGCACTTGGAAACTGATATTTTTTTAAAAATCCTTTGGTAGGCTGCACTTTGATTCATTTATTTTATTCAAAGTATATACTTCTGGAATGGGGAATTCAAAATCCAAAAGTAGGTCATGCTAAACTTGTTAATTCTGCGGTTTCTGTTCCCAGGAGTGGCTTCAAAAATGTGTTGTATTTATTCTTTATTCAAAATGTGTTGTTCATCCTATAAGCAGATGCCAATTTAGAATAAACAAAAACATGTTTCTTTTTCTTTAAATAGTTTTGCACTTTTTGGAAGAATAACTTTAAATGTGGATTGAGAAGACTTGTTTATGATATATATTTCAAATTATCTAACAATAATTGCTTCACGCAAGATAAACAATGGACTCTAAATGCTTTCTCAAGTTTTTGCTAACTGCTTTTCCTCTTTGCAGATTTATAAAAACCTGTGGGCAGCAGTTCTTCAGGGCAAGAACGTACTTGAGAGACCAGCGTGGTGGGTTGAATTTTGTGCCAACAAGCCTTCTATTGGAAGCATGAAGTCAAAGCTCTAATTAACCATCCATTTAGATACACATTTATATAGCAAATTGATGTAAACTAAGGTATATGGAAGGATGAATCAGCTGTCATTTCTAGTCCATGTTGGTCAGGATTGTTCAATATCATTAGACTGTAATTAATGCTTACTCTTTCACCAAGGTTTACATGAATGATTAAACTGAGTCCCAAGAATAAATTTAGCAATGCATGTTCCAAACAAGAAAAAAAATGAAAAACTTGTGGTAAAAATTAAAAGAAGTTTACCTCCTGATATAGACTGAAAGGAAAATAAAAATGAGCATTTTCTATAACCCATTTCTCACTAGCCGTCCCCAGAATGTTTTACAGCCAATGGAGTACATATTCCCACTGTTACGATATGAAAAATATGTCAGACAATTTCTGCAAAGCAAACTCCCACAAACAGCAATTTATTTAAACCCATATAATTTTTTTGAGTGAGATATCAAAGATAAATGTTTTTGGGTAGAACACTGATATAACTCCCCTTCGCTTCAAAATAGTGTCATGCGATTTTTTATGTCCACTTGAAAGGGTAAATAGTGCCTTCTAAGAGATGGCACCTCCAAAGGTGCAACAGTCTCTCAACAGTTATGAAACTTTAAGTGCTGTAATTTAAAAATCAAAAGTATTATCCTATTTAAATGTTTCTAAGCTTTCATTTGGCTCACTTGGTAAAAGTCTGACCTAAGTTAGATTGCAGATTCAAACCCCACCTCAGAATTTCCACATATTGCTTAGGCTGATATTTCAATATTTTCCTAAACAGTAGCTATGTTATTAGAGATGTCATCATTCAGTTGAGATGTGAAATCCACGACCTATGCACATGTTAATTCAGGTTTAAAGAATCCTATGGCAATACATGAAGAAGATTGAGATAACAGATAGTTGCCTGCATAACAATAACTAAACACCAAAACTAAACAATTTCTTAACTATGAAGCATTGTAGGACGTTGTGTGAAATTTTAAGTTACTTCTGCTCTTTTAAATTATCGTAACCAATACTATCATGAAAAACTAAAAGAATGAACTTTACCAGCATTCATCTTATTGTGAAGAATTTGGATTTTTTTCCAGTTGATTCTTTTATTAATATAATAGGCTTTGCTCTGGAATAGTAGATATGAAAAGTAATGTGATTGCCAACCTCAAAACCATTTCATTTTATGTCAGATACATATCATTTAAATACAACCTGATTGTGAATACATTGTCCAGTATACTAACAAAACATCAAGGAGTAATTAATAAAATGCAAGAGTAATATTATGCTCTGTTATAATTGCCTCATTTGTTCCAGTTAAGTACAATGTTTGTTTATTTTACATTTTCATTCGACTATCTGTACATTTTGTGTGAAAGTTAAAAATAATGGTGAAATGTTGACTACTAATAATGTTCCTGTGATATAAATTTTTTCATAATCAGCTTTGCCAATTCTGATTGTACAATTAAATTATTTTACAAATATAAATGATGTGGTCACAGTATTTGAAAATACTTGGTTCTGATCAGTTGGGCTAAGGAAGGTTACCTTCATGAGATGAATGTTAACAAATTATACAATTACTACTGGTAGTAAACTATAACTTGAGCTAGAATGTAGGCTTTTCTATTTATTCAAGATGAAAAAGATCAAAACATGGCAGTAACTCAAAGTGCAGAAAATATGACCCAAATATTGACATATTGTCATTTCCCTTGAGTTGTCTGGACACTTGGAAAACCTGACCAGTCTGGATTAACATAGGAAAGTAGAAGTAGGAGTAAGCAATTCAACCCAGATTGTCCTGCACCTCATTCAAATATATCATGGCTGATCCATCTAGCTCAATGGCACATTTCCATACTCTCCCCATATCTCTTGATGTCATTAGTATCTAGAAATCTATTGATTTATGTTGAATGATTAAGCTTCCACAGCTATCTGGGGTACAGCATTCCAAAGGTTCCCGTCAGCTAGCTCAGTGTTAGATGGCTTACCCCTTATTCTGAGACTGTGTCCCTTTGGTTCTATATTCACTAACCAGGGGAATATCTGACCCTGTCTTGCTCTATACAAATTTTGTATATTTCAATTAGGTCATCCTTTTTTAATAAATTTTAGAGAATACAGACCCAGTTTCATCAATTTGTCCTCCTAAGACAATCATATCATCACAGGGATTAGTCTGGTGAACCTCCAAAGCACTCCTTCAATGATAAATATATTCATACTTAGATAAGGAGACCAGAACTGTACACAATAGTCTATGTGGAGTCTCTGCAATTGTCTATACAACTGCAGCAAGACACTTTACTCCTATACTCAAATCTCCTTGCAATTAAGGCTACCATCATATTTGTATTCCTAATCGCTTGCAGCACTTGTATGCAAGCTTTTAATGCCTCATGAGCAAGGATACTCAGGTCCTTTTCAACATCCGCACTTTCCAACTTTTTACACTTGTGGACAGAACCTTATAGGGGTCTGAGCAACATTTGCTTTTGTGAGGTGTGTGAATGATCATATTAGGCACGGTTACCTTATATGCCAGGATCCGGGTAGGCAGGTATATGGGAATGTAGGTCAGATGGGTGGAGACGTGGGCAAATGCGAATCCTTTACGATTAACATGATAGTCTACTTGAAATGGGATGTGCATATTCAGGGCTCACTGACATGGCCAGGCAGAGTCTGGAAGCCACTTGAGGGGGAGAACTCACTGTTGCATTCCATCATGCTGGATTTCTTAAGTACACAATTGGATAAAAGTGACTGCAATCACACTCAGAGTGGGCAGGACAAGTGACTTGGCTTGGGAGGGAGACTGTTGCTGCAATAACCACACACAGGGCTTTTAAAGGACAAGAATGTAACTCAAAAGCCCCCCAAAGATCTAGCACACAGGCATGTAGGCTGCCTAAATCTTGGCACTGCCCTGTCATTTTGTGAGGAGGGTGCAACCTGGACTGCTTTCAAGGTTTCTCAGCTCCCTGACACCATGTCTTCAGTTCTGGGGACTGGTGGAAAGGGTGATGGAGTACAGATGTTTGTGGTTCTCCAGCAGCCCCTGAGGGTACTGGGCCTGGCTCCCAATGATATCTACCAAATTGTCAAGGAAGGCAACCACATGGTCACTGAACTTTCTGCATTGATGCAGCTTCTGGACAAAGAGGGGCATTGCATCCAAAATCTCTGTCTGTTGCTTCCGCTCCTCCCTGTGTATTTGGCTCTGTTGCCCCATTGCTAAAACCACAAGATCATCTCCTGTCTGGGCCTGAGTAGGAGCCTCGTCTCCAGCAGTTCTCCAAGTCCCAGTGACCTGGGTCTTTTCCGCAGCCAGCAGTGTTCTCCAGATTGACAGTATGTACACACAATGATGACAGTTCCCCCAAGATGTCAGTATCTGGAACAAAAACAAAGTTGATGGAAAAGGTCAGCAGGTTTGGCAGTTAACGTTTCAGGCCCGGTGCCCTTCCTCAGAACTTAATGTCAGTATCTGGATTGGTAGACAGTGCAGGAGGCAGCCTTTTCCGATGCTTCTACTGTGGCCTCATCACCATCCAAGTCCTCCAGGTACCTGTCGGAGAATAGAGGTGCCTTCTTCCCCTTTTCTGATATCTTGTACATCCTTCCTTCAATGAGCAAAGCAACTTTGACATGCCAATGATTGTCCATGTGCACTGTGACATCTTAAAGATGGTGTTTTGGTGGATAACCACTGAGTGGCACGTTGTTCTGGGAAGGGTGTTGGATAAGATAGGGCCAAAATTCAACATCAGAGATGCCATGTGTCGCAGTAGGTGATTAATGAATTAATTAATTAGGCCTCATGGCGAAAATGCGACGAAAATCTCAATGTGATACAGACTTAACCAAGAAATACCTGCAAGATACAGCTGTGCTTCTGTGTATTTTTCCATGAAAATTAATAATTTCACACACACTCACATTATAACCTATCTGCCATGTTCTAAACCATTCACCTACCTTGCCCAGGTTTCCGTGATGCCCACCTGCTCATAACATACATTCTGGTTTTGTATCATCCACAGATTTGGAAGTATCACATTTGGTCCCACATCCACAAGATTTATATAGATTGTGAAAATCTGTGTTCTCAGCATTGATCCTTGCAGCAGCTGGTAATAACAATCTGAGAATGAATTATTTATTTCTGTTTGTTAACTATTTGGCTAGACTGATACTACCTGTACAATAACTATACTTGTTTTAAGTCTGCTGTTTCAACTGATACAATACCTGAAATTTCTCTGCAATGATCTCAATGAAAATGCTCTCAATAATTTTTTTTTCTTTATTCATTCATGGGATGAGAGCATCACTGGCTAGGCAGCATTTATTGCCCATCCCTAATTGCCTAGAGGGCAGTTTAGATTCAACCACATTGCTGTGGGTCTGGAGTCACATGTAGACCAGACCAGGTAAGGATAGCAGTTTCCTTCCCTAAAGGACATTAGTGACCAGATGGGTTTTTCCTGACAATCAACAATGGATTCATGGTCATCATTAGATTCTTAATTCCAGATATTTATTGAATTCAAATTCCACCATCTGCTGTGGCAGAATTTGAACCCAGGTCCCCAGAACATTATCTAGGTCTCTGGATTAACAGTCCAGCGATAATACCACTAGGTTATCACCTCCCCCTATAATTAATCCAGTTTATTATTTAAATGTGTGAATCATCATAGTAAATGAACATCTTGACAATACATTCTTTTATTTCTAAATATTAATTATCCCTAGTTATTATCGGTTCAGTTTACAGCAAGGCTCATCGTGGTTGTGACCCGAACTTGTCTTTTAATATTGGCATAAATAAAAACAGAAAGTGCTGTCTTGGAACACTGAAGAATATATGAACATACAACCTTGGAGTACAAATAGGCCACTCAACCCCCTCAAGTCTATTCCGTCATTCGATAAGATCATGATTTGTCTGATTACTCTATATTACTGCTTATTCCAATAGCCTTACATCTCCTAGTTTATTGCAAATCCAATCTAACTCTGCTTTAAAAATATTCAAAGTCACTGCTTCCACCACCTTTTAAGGAAGAGAGAGACCTAGGGATGCAGATGCATAATTCCTTGAAAGTTGCATCACGGGTAGACAGGGTGGTAAAGAAGGCGATTGGCACGCTTGCCTTCATTGCTCAGTCTATTGATATAGGAATTGGAACGTTATGTTGAGATTGTACAGGACATTGGTTAGGCCACTTTTGGAGTACTGTGTACAGTTCTGGTCGCCCTGCTATAGGTAGGATAGTATGCAATTGGAGAGAGTCCAGAAAATATTTACAAGAATGTTACTGGGGCTGGAGGGTTGATGTATAAGGAGAGGCTGGATAGCCTGGGACTTTTTTCACTGGATTGTAGGAAGTTGAGGGGTGACCTTATTGAGGTTTATAAAATCATGAGAGGCATAGGTGAATAGCAAAGGTCTTTTCCCTGGGGTGAGGGACTTCAAAACTAGATGGCATAATTTTAAGGTGAGAGGAGAAAGATTTAAAAGGGACCTGACAGGCACTTTTTTCAGGTCCAGTTTTTTTTTGCAGGTACGGTTACAACATCTAAAAGACATTTGGACAAGTACATGAATAGAAAACGTTTAGAGGGATATGGGCCAAATGCAGGCAAATGGGACTAGTTTAGTTTGGGAAACCTGGTTGGCATTTAAGTTGGACTGAAGGGTCTGTTTCCAGATTATATGGTTTTATGATCTCCTGTGTGGGGCACTATCAAAAGCCCTATGAAAATCCAAATACCCACAGCTACTTATTCTCCGTTATCTATGGTACTCAAAGAACTGCAAACAATTTAGTCAAATATAGTTTTCCTTTTTTATATATTGTTAGTTTCTCAGTTCTAGTTAACATAACTTTTATAATAGATTCGAACGATTTCCCTACAACTGATGTCAAACTAAGAGGATTTTAGATCTCCATTTTCTCCCACCTTTTCTTTTTAAATAATGGGGTTACATTTGCTATCTGCCAATGCACAGGAGCATCACCAGAAACTATAGAATTTTGAAAGATAACCACCAATGCATGCACTATCTCTACAGCTAATTTCTTCAACACTGTAGGATAAATTTTATCCTGTCCAAAAGATTTATCAATTCTCAATCCAATTAAGTTTTCGCGTACTACCTCTTCAGTAATTTTTTTAACCTCTTCACTTGCAAGAGTCCCTTGGTTGCCTAGTATTTCTGGGAAATTTTCCATATCTTCTGTGAAGGCAGGTGGAAAATAATTGTCTAGTTTCTCCATTAATTTTTGTTCTCCATTATAAGTTCTCCTGTCTCCTTCTGTAATGAACATGCATTTGTACTAGCTAATTTTTTTCCTTTGCAAATACCTTTTACAGACTACCTTTGTGTTTCTCATTAGCTTGCATTCATTATCTCTTATCCTTCTATTTATTAGTTGTTTGATCATCACTTGCTGAATTTTAAATTGC